AGAGAGAGAGAGAGAGAGAGAGAGAGAGAGAGAGAGAGAGAGAGAGAGAGAGAGAGAGAGAGAGAGAGAGAGAGCAGGGGGAAAGTTGGTGAGAGCTGGAGGAGTGCGTTTTTCGTATCCTGATGGAATGGCCAGGCCTGCCTGTTGGGCCTAAAGCCTTTGTACATGTGTTTTGTAATTGTTATTGGTTTTGCTAACGTTGTCGCAGGAACGTTAGGATTTCTGTGACGCATAGTCATTCTTATGAATTCATCATGTGTTGCAATTAAGAGTGGCACGGGCTTGGCTGCTGTTTCGCCTGCAGCCCTCATTGTACATTGTTTCGTAACTTCCGTACTAAGATTTTCCACAGTGTTTTTTGCTGTTATTATCATCATCAGGCTCATCCCATCCCTTGTGAAGATGTTACTGTCCTTTTTTTTTCTCCACATGTTCTTGTTTTTTTTAATTTCCTTTCTGAGACACTGGAAGTCTTCCTGCATCGTTAAAGGGTGCAAAATTGCAAACGCACACGCGCTTAAAGTCGCTCTCTGCATCGACTCCATCAGTGCATGGGCTGTTGTCGCTGCTGTGGGGTCGGAAAGGCTGGCAATTCTTTCGATTTGCTATTCACCGATGTGGGGTTGGAAAGACGGACGATTTTTTCAATTTGCTACCGGTAGTCCGTTGGCTCGCTTCCGTTCTACATCGATGTTCGCTAGTTAGGAGTAACCCATGCTTCTTGGTCCATGAGCGATGAGTCTATATGACCTAACATTCATAAAGCCGTTATCGCGAGGAAGAAATGCAATGCAAGCGTGCGTTTGGGGGGGGAGATCACGTAGCAGGGGTACCTTTTTTTTTCCGTATGGGTATCATTTTGTCACAGCCCTGCAGCACAAATTAGGTGATAAGGAAACTCCTGACATCGGGTGTGCAAATAGATTGCCTGGTAGTGGTTTCTCTGCATCAACAGTTTTGGATGACAACAACCGCGCTACTACTTGTGTATGTTATCCAGGTCTCCCTGCCCTCTTATTTCCAGGCCACATATGTGTGCCTCTTGAGTTCGGACCCCTACTTTGTCGACTATTCTGCCTGTCTTTGACTTCTTTGACGATTCAATAGCTCCGTAGGCCATGTTGTGGAAACCAGCCCCCAGCTAGCAGTCGGCGCTTTTGTACGAGTGAACGCTTAAGCCCTTCCTCGCCCCCTTTCCATGCCCCCTGGAAGCAGTATTAGGATGGTTGTTTTTTCCCCCCCTCTTTTTCTTCGGGATGCTCGTTTTGTTATTTCACAAAAAAATCAACGAATACTTGTTTGGACACCCTCCTACTCGGGGTATCCCCAGCGTCTCAGGTCTGGCGGGCACACTGCTGCGGCTCTACTCTATTCTCGGGGAGTGCCATGACATGATGGAAGAGCGTCCTCGTCTGTGGCGGGGCCTCTTAACTTGCCAACAGAAGGTGCCACACATCAAGCAAGCCAAACCCCGCGACCCAGCAATTCGGCAGCAAAACAGACAAACCAAGCAGCAGATAAAACCGACAAAACTTCGCCGAGTCCGCCTAGTGCAGCCCAGACAGTGGCCAAGCTCCACCAGGGCTTGAAGCCACCTGGAGGAAACGGGCCCTGGAAAAACTCTGCGGTTAAGCAAGGGTTACAAAAAGAGATGGTCTGCTATGACAAAAATGAATCAAGTTGGAAACAGCGCTTAAATTCATTGAATGCATCTCCATGGTTGTTGCAATGTATACATACCTGCTCAACCGTTGTGAAAACCGGTGTGACACAGGCTGACAAGAAATACCAAGCAAGTTGGTGAACGCCTTCTTGAATGTCGCACCGGGCCTCTTCCCCTCTCTCTGGAAGCATGACACTTCGACGATGCAATTGTCTTGTCCCGGGGGGGGGAAATGGGTCCATGAACCCCTTCTTTTTTTTTTTCTTTTTTTCTTTTCCCAGTTTATTAACTGATCAGAACAGATAGTACACTTGATCTTACTTAGCCAAAAGGCCGAGAAATGAACCCTGTGGCTGGCCTTATTGGAAATGAAATGTAGAATCAAAGTTAGTCCACTCGCCGGCCTTCCATCTGGGTGGTGCTCTCACCAGGAGTTGGATACAGGTGCTGCAAAGTGATTTGAAAACCTTGAAACTTGAAAAAAAAAACAAAGAGCCTGAAAAGGGATGACTATGCAGGATCCTGACCCACTTTCCGGACCTGGTTCTACCTGCATCTTCTGCATGCAATTGTGTAAGAAACCACGCTACCGGGGGCGCCAGGCCGGGTACCCGTCCAGGGGCCCCGGCCATCTGCCCGCCGAGGGGCACCCAGGGCATGTAAGAGCTCCAGGGATTTTTTTTAGTTGGTGGAGCTTTGCCTCTATTGAAAGCAGCCCAAATCCAGGCTTGTTTTCGTTTTTCAATGGTCTGTTAGGGGAGGGGGGAAGGGCGGTAGAAATGGTGATGAAAGAGGCTTCCAAGGGTTATAAGTGGGGGTCTCTTTGCTCTCTCTCTCTCTCTCTCTCTCTCTCTCTCTCTCTCTCTCTCTCTCTCTCTCTCTCTCTCTCTCTCTCTCTNTCTCTCTCTCTCTCTCTCTCTCTCTCTCTCTCCCCCCCCCCCCGTTTTATTTCATTGTTTTTATTTTTTTCTTAGAATCTCGTTCAGTATTTTTATTTCCATTTTTGCTTGTATATATACGATATATATCTGTTTGTGACGATATATATATATATGTTTGACGATATATATAACTCCGACGAAACAGTTTGTCACAGCCCCTCGTTTGTTGTCCTCTTCTCTCTCTCTGCCTACGGTTACGGGGCAGTTCTGTTTGTGACGATATATATACATATATATTGCTTTCACAAATGAGAACTTGCCCGCCACTGGTAGCTCTAGGCTCGGCAAGGCTTGGCATACCGGTAGCCCGAGGGTTGGGACAGGATAGCTGGGAAAGGTACTGGTGGTTTAAGCTGCCGGTACACAGCCCGAACCTTCTAGGAAATGGACTCGTCCCCACCACCGCACCTTTCTGGGCCGGGCCGCTGTTGATCAATTTCATCAATGGCCTTTGTGGTGTTTCCAGGGCCAGCAGCCAATGCATGGCCGTGAAGTGGTGATTTAAACCGCCAGTTCTTTGAGTCCCCTTCGATGTCTTGTCGCACACTCTGATGACAGCGTCTATTGCAGCCGTCACCACCCATGAGGCATGCCCCAATTCCGATGAAGCCTATGCTCTGGTGAGTCACGCATCCGTTGTCGCTTATGAATGACGTCATTTGACGACACTAGAGCTTGTCACAGCTTCCGGAATGCGCTATTGTGCCTTGCCATACCACTCCCAGCAAAGATGAAGTCGGGAGTGTCGCCATAGCATAGGTTTCTTCCTCTCCTGCCCATATCCAACCCAGCCCAAGCCTTGATGTATCATATCTAGCCGGACCTATGTAAACACAGTTTTTTTCACCGAGACCCAGCCCACCCAGGCTAATTTAAAATTTTCCAACAAGTACCCAGCCCACCCAGCATCTACAATGAAAGCCTCACCCCTACCCAGGCACACCCAGGCCAAAATTTAATCCACCCGCATCGGGCCGCATTGGAACCCAATTTCATCCACGTGCGCCCAACCATTCATGATGAGCCCAAGTTACAGCAGCTCCAGATGAAAGTAGAATAACAGTATTTAGAAAGGAGATTCCCCAAGGATCTAACACATCAATACCTTTTGGAGGCCAAATAGCTCCAATTTCTACGGTAGGCGCCAGACTTGAATGAAAGAAAGCCCAAAAAAAAGCTACAAAAAACATTACTCCTGACACAATGAACAAAATCATACCATAACGAAGTCCCACTTGAACCACTGATACCTGCCATACCCTTGTTTCTTTCCCTACATTTCCAACGTAGGCCTTTGCGTATCGGATTCGTCACCTTCCATCCACAGAGTGCCTCATTCACCACAACTTCAGCAGCAATTCAATGAAAAATTCATGTACTTCAAAATGTCTTCAAGGCAATTTTAAAAAATGATAACCATATCAAACAGTTTAGTGAGGTGCAAAGGTGAGTCAACAGGCTCTTTTTTGGATGGATCTGACGGCAATCATGTCCTGGGATTATTACCAAATGTCTTATTTGAGCATGCCCTAAGATGAAACGGCAGGCGGCCCCGACCAATGGGCATAGCTCAGTTGCTACACCAATGAACTGTTGAAACACAGAGTTGTTGCCCAGGCCCAATCGAGATAAAATGTGAAAAGTATAGTCCGCTGATGATGCCGGATCTCACTGTGAAGCGTCATAGAGGTGGGTCACAGGCGCACACATTGCCGGAAAATCGAGGTGGGTCGCAGGTGCACCCATCGCGGGAAAATCGAAGGCGGGCGGGACCGCTTCGCCAAATTGGCGAGGAAGAGACGAGTCCCTCCGAGAGAACCAGCTGATCGACTATGCGTGTGGCTGGAGTCCCCAGAGCCGGCAATCAGGTGGTCATGGCTGCAAACAGCCCGGCCCAGCTGCACCCAACGGGCTCGGTGGTCCAGGTGCAGTTCTCACAGAGGCAGACTGGCTGGCCCGGCCAGGTGGTAGGATAGCGAGTCACGGGCCACAGCTGGGTGCAAAATTCGTCGGATGACCCGAACCAGGCCCTCTAAAAAAAAAAACTTATATACAGGTATGTATCGTCATATATGTATTTTTCTATATCTAAGATTCTAAGATGGCTGTTTATCCCGGTTTCCCATTAACCGTGCCCTGGTGGCGGCCTGTTGGTGCCCACACGGCGCTCTCGAAAAAGTGCAGGTAACCCAGCCCATGTAGCTGAATGGTACACACATGTAGTTGTTAGTAAACAGCTCATGAGTTCCTGATGGAAAAAAAAAAAAAAAAGTGCAGGCTGACTAAGTAGCCCAAGCTGCCCTGAAGACACTGTATCAAACTGCAGTCAGCAGTTATGTACATTCATTAGTTTGAACATTTTCAGAAGATGCAGACGTTATGGAGTAGGATGGTGGTGCAGCCTCCATGACGCAGAGTAAGCTTGGTTGAATTTCCAAGCTGGAGTGGGAGTAGGGAATGAGTACTGATCACGATGGAAGGGGTCGTGAATGGCAGGCAATGTCGACGGAAGACACGTGGGGAACAGCATTGGTCGAAGTTCGGCGAACACCAAACTCCAAAGCTTGCAGTGGAATGGCCTCTAGGGTGGGTAGGTATACCGTATAGGTACACATCGATCACAGGTGGGGCATGGGCGGGTCTGGGCGGGTTATGGGTGAAATGTTGTATGGGTCCTGGGTGGGTTGAATGCAGTCGACCACTCTTTTGCGTTCCCAGCCGGGTTGGGCGGGGGTGGGAAAAATTCAAAACACCAGTTCTGGGTTGGATGCAGTGGGAGAATTGTTTGAAGACCAGGTCCAGTTTGGGTTCTGGTTGATTTTTTTTTGGAAAAGCAAATCCAGCCTGGATCTGGTTCATAAAAAACAAAGTTTTGTGAGCTCTAGGTTGGATTGAAGGTTTGCCTACGCAATCACTGCGGCGGCCAGTCGGGTACAAGAAGGTGCAGTGAGAGAAAGTCCGCAGTCTGCAGCTACCAGTCCCGTCCCGGTCGCTTATACAGCCACGGACTCTGGAAGCAGTGCCGGGAGGACCAGCAACATCCAGCTTCACCCTGGGTGAGTTCCAAGTCCCAATCCCCAATGAACCTCCTCCGTAGATCTCGGAAGGATAGTTGTAGACCAGTGATGGTCTTCTGTCAAACCGGATAAGAAAAATGCAGAAACCAGAGACGTCCACACTGAGAATCCACGAACCATGAGAAACAAGACCGAGAAGACCTGTCATGTTAAAACCTCCACGTATCAAATTGGGTCCCAGCTGAAGAGAGGTCCCACCTAGCCAAAGTCCCAACCAATCATAACCGCCAACCAGGAGTAGGAGCAGATCTCCAACCGCGGGCACTCCTTAAGGACAATTGTGTTTGATCCACAGGGAATTACTTGAATTACCTGAGGCCGGTCGGTTCTATCTCGAGCCCGTTGCCGTGCGCGTAGCGTAAATTTGCCCTGGCCCTTTACGCTACGGGCACGTTGTTGGCACAAATACCATTACAAGGGTATTTGTGCGTATTTTTGCATCTCAGACGAGACGCATCTTTGACGATATCTAAGAGAGTAGCACATTTTCGCACGACTACAACCGACTCTCAGAAGTCAAGAATGGCAAGCGCTCATATGGTCAGATCAAAGAGTGTGTGAACGTGCACTTTCAAGGGCACACGCGGTTTCAGGCAGACGTTTGGTGATTTAGTGAACTGGTACTGTAGTTAACAACCTCACCCAACAGCGCGAGCTAAAAAAAGATTAACATGTTGATTAGCACCGCGCACACACTGTTGTTGCTTTCCCCAGCGGTGGTGGCGAAAAACATGCTTTCAGCTTTCACCGGCATTGTATCAAAGTATTTATGCTATCGGGGCAGTGTTGGATTATCTGGTTTTCAGTGTGATTCCTGCAGTTTGGAGTTGCATCTGGCTATGGGCCAGGGGTTTGGTAACTCCCCCATACATATCGCTGTTCGAGGGGGTCCGGTGCTCCCGCAGTCTGGAGATGATCGGGTGGGTGATGCAGCAGGCCTGGTTTGAGTTACAAAGGAGCCACCTTGCAAATACGGGGGAGATTTGTGTATTTGTCGTGCGTTCCACTCTGCCTTCGTCGTGCAACACCTTGCTTTGCTGTATTAAAGTACAGCGTGTTGCGTTGCAGTATTGTTAAGCAGTGTATCGTCCTACACGGCATTGTGCCTTGCTGTTTTTGCTAAGCGTTGCGCTGTGAATAGCTATTGTGGTGTTGCTGCACACGGTGGCTAAGTGTACCACATTTCTACTGAGTTATGCTGCATTCCTGCTTACATTTCGAATAAAGCATAGGGGGGGGGTTCTCTATTCGGCCGCGTCCTGCCTATGTTGCGTGGCTACGGTTTGATCAGAAGGGAGGCGTTGTGGCTTTGGAGGAGTGTGTCTTTGCAAGGTGGTCACTGTTGCGACTTTGAGGTTTCTCAAAGGACTGATACCTTGCATTCTGGTCGTGATCTGACTGTCTCCACTACATTTTTTGCCATCGTTGCAGGACCCTCAGGCGATCGAAGGCAACAAGGCCCTCTCATGCGAATCAGAGTGCACCCTCTGGGATCTGAGCGACTGTCTTTCTCCTTCTGCCTTTCTTACTCTCAGTTTGATCTTTTGGTTACGAGAGGAGGAAGGCAAGCGGGATTGGAAACCCGTAGAACTGCATCAAGACCACGTGGGAGGTCAACCCACCGATTGTGGGAGCTCTGTCGGAGCTCATGCGGAGTTCTAGAGGCAGGGAACAGACAGGTATATAACCGTTTTACGTGTGTGATCCCATCCCTTAACTGTACCACTCTCTATCTGTTTGGACATATAATTGAGGAGACTCATTATTTTTATTTGTTTTGCATGACTTAACTCTGAAATGATAATTGAATAAGTATGTGTGAAAAGTCGGACTATTAGTGAAAATTCATACAAAATGAATAGGGGAAGGCGGAAGGAAGGTTGATTTTGCTTGTATTTGACTAGGTCAACCAAAGGCTGAATCCATTCTAAGTGTGTGGGCTCAGTGCTATATTTCTTTTTGCATGCTGGGCTGTTTGCTTGATTTCAAAAGACGCTTCATAAAATTGACGGTTTGGTCGCATGTTTTTCTTAGGGTTTCTAAATGGAGGATGAGACTCATAAGTTGGGTGCTCAGAGTCATTGTTTCTTTTGTTATTGAACAGCGTTGGACACATTCTAAGTGCGTGTGTCCAGTTATGTGTTTATTTATGAGGGGAACATAGACGAATGTTAGTCACACCATATGTTGGTGTGGCCAAGTCATGAGTCGTGAACATAAGTGGAACCAGAGTATAAAATATGATATATTTACTTATATATTATATCACTGACAGACTGGTTGTCATAAGTTGGGAGATCTAGCCATATAAGCCGATAAGAGACAAAAGCAAAAAATAAATACAATTTTGAGTATAAAATTGAGAAGTAACTTTGGACAGGCGGAACTCATCCATAAGTTGGATAGTCCAGTCTTATCCCCATGATAACACAAGATGCAGAGAGACAATATAAACTTGACTATTTTTAAACATAATTGAGGCTTGGTTAGAGATCTCCAAAAGGTGGGGTGACCTGACCATTTGTTGGAAGAGAGAATGAATGTGTGAACTTACTTGTTGAATGTAGTTATGTTGCGGAGGCTGGGCGAACCCATAAGTTGGGGGTTGTTCGGTCATACACGCATGTTGTTTGTCTAAGCAGGTTGAACTACCCATAAGTTGGGTATCCTAATTATATGTTATATGTCATTGTTTGGGTTAGCTTGTCACACCCTAAGTTGGTGTGTTATAGTCATATGCCTCTTGTCATTTGTTCAGGCAACGGCTAGATTTCCTCATAAGCTGAGGCGGCCCAACTATTTATGTATGTCAAACGTTCAGGTTGACCAACCTCACCATAAGTTGGTGCAACTCTG